CGCGGCGGCGATCGCGGTGGCCCGCGCGAGTTCCCCCGCGGCAGGGTTTCGGCTTGCGGCGATCGGCCCCTGAAACTCTTCGGTGAAGCGGGCGAGGGGGCCGAGGAGCCCCGGGCGGACGAAGTCGACCAGCCCCCACAGCTCCTGCAGCCCGTTCTGGATCGGGCTCCCGCTCAGGACGAGTCGGTGGGGAGTAGGGAAGGCTCGCGCGGCGAGGCTGCGCGCCGTCGTCGGGTTCGCGATGTGGTGCCCCTCATCGAGGATGAGGTAGTGAAACCCGGCCCGGGTGAGGGCGGCCGCGTGCAGGCGCAGGGCCGCGTAGGTCGCGAGAAATACCACCCCCGCCCTGTCCAGGTCTTTCGCGCCGTGTAGGACGTCGTGCAGGTCTGTTACACCAAGGGGGTCTCTGGAGGTGTGCCGGTCCTTCCCATAGGAGGGGTCTGTCACACCGTGCAGGACGTCGTGGAGGGTTTTCGCGCCGTGCAGGACGGCCACCCGCAGCGCCGGGGCCCAGCGGTGGAGCTCCGCGACCCACTGCCGGAGGACGGTCAGCGGGGCGATGATCAACACCGGCGCGCGAAGGGCCCCCGCGCGCGCGAGGCTGTTCAACATCACGGCCACCTGAATGGTCTTGCCGAGGCCCATCTCGTCGGATAAAATGCCCCCGCAGCGCTGGAGGTGGAGGGACAGCAGCCACCTCACCCCGTCGCGTTGGTAATCGAGCAGGCGCTCGTAGGTCGCGCGGTCGATGTGGAATTGATCGATGAGGTGTACTAAAGGCTCCGGCGGGAGTGCACGGCGGGCCTCCTCCTCCGCATCGTCATGTTTAAAGGAAATCGCCGCGGGGGAGGAGGAAGTGGTAGTTCGCCCGGACGCTTTGCCCAGATTCCCATTTTCCGTTTTGACGACAACCCTTTCCTTTTTTTTACCGCGTTGCATTTCCTCCGTGAGCAGCGTATGAAGGATCGCCGCGCTGGTGTCGTGTTCCGCCTCCATCAAGGCATCGACGTCAATCACCTCAATCTTCTCTTCCTTCGCCTCTTTCTTTACACGTGGTTTGGCTTCACGTTTCCCATTTTTCGTTTTCAACTCTCCTATCGACCGCCGTCCTTCGGGATTCGTCAACTCCGCATCGTGATTGAGGGAGCTATTTGGAGGGGTTTCCTGCGCGGTCGAAATCCCTTCAGTCTCCTCTGCCCGTCGATATTGGAGAATAGTCTGCGCGATCTCGCAGCGATGACGTTTTTCCTGCCTCGCGCGAAAGGCCTCGGGGTCAGTGTCGTCAGAATACCGCATTCGCCGCGAGCGGATGTCCGCCCGTGAGATCATGACGCGCCCGAACGAAGGAAGCAGGTCTCCGCCACGATAACTATTCAAATCCATCTCATTTTCTCTTTCCCCTTCTTTTACCGCCCTATTTCCTTCCGTGGAAGAAGAGAGGATAACTTTGGAAGAAGAGGAAGATAAAGATGAGAGAGGGATCGCGCGCTGTGCCGAAAGCGGCCGTGGCAGACGCTTTGCCCCCGAAATTACTGAATGATCCCTTCCTTCGTTTGAAAAATTGCCATAAAAGACATTTTCACTACTTGAAGGCGGTGGTGAAACGAATTCGTTCGCTCTTCTTGCTTCATTTTCCTCTTCTCTTTCCAGTTGCTCTTCCTGGTATTTTGCGAGACGAAGCCGCTCATGCTGTCGCTGCTCAACCTCAACCTGAATCCGACGTAGTACCGCTTCCTTCTTCTCCAGCACCCCTCGCGCGTTTTTAAGTTGAAATATCAGCCCCGAAAGCGACTTTCCAGCCGTGTGATCGTGGCTAATCGGAGGAGGATCGCCTACATGGTGGTTTCCACCGTTATCGAGGACCTCTTGCGCGTGTTCGGCGGCGGTGTAGATGTGTTCGAGCTCTTTGACGTGGCTTTCCGCGCGCTGAAAGTCTTTCCAGGCGGCGCGCAGTTTGGCCTGGTCCGCCACGGCGGCATCGTCGGACTCCGCCCGGACGTGGGCGGCGACTTCGCGGCGAAGGACCGCCTCATCGACCCAGCGGATGTGGGTCTGGCCGGAGAGATCATCCGCCATGGCTTTATTTTCATACACCCCCTCCCGCAGGAAGTGAGAGAACTAAAAGAAGGGGAAAAAATACCCTCACTCACGCCCTCTACAGCAAATTGCTATACTAAGGGGTAATACTAAAGGGGGAGGAGGGGGGAGCGTATTTGCGTTGGTGTTTACCGCAATAATAAAATAGAAAAGAAAAGACCAATACCAGCTGTTGCTTTTCCGTATGGTTCTTTTTTTTATTTGGTGTAGGTAATGTGCTACTTTATGCCGCAATCTGTATCTTTTAGTGGATATAGTTGAGCAAGATCCTTGGAAAGCACCAAAACACACGAACCCCCACACAGGGTCATGAAAGGATCAAGAGAAAAGGTTTCAAGTTCGACGGAAATTATAAAGGCAGCAGAAACGCCAATCGTGGAAAATTTATGAAGTAAAATTAAGAGTAACGTTTCCACAGATCTTAAATATATAATTATCATCAAGATATCATTACACAAAACTTTTTAAAAAAATGAATCAATTTTTTTTCTCTATATAGTTGTATATATATACATATATATATATATATATGCATATAAGGGATTTAAAAGACTATACATTTCTCACCTATTTAGGAATAGGATTGGCTTCAAAGTTCATCTTGTAGCCATTGGGCACACCACTAATGAACATCTTTGTCTCCAACGGTGGTATATGTAGTTCACATTTATATTCATTTGATTCTTCATCTTGATTCATCTGGGTATCCTCCAGCGCCTCAATTTCACTATCTTTGCCAAAAGCTACGTGCACCACCATATTGTAGTTTGTAGTATCGTTGTAAAACACCCATTCCTTCTTATCATCATTTACGATGCGGAAGAGGAGACCGTTGCCGTTATCTCGAAAACACTTGAAAATCGTACCGCCCTCGTATGTAGGCTGTCCATTCTCAAAGGCGATATCAGACATAGGTTTACCTTTGGGTCGACGTTTTTAAGTTTTCAAACTTTTTAAAATTGTAGATTACGTAATTATTTTTCCTTTTCTTTTAGAATTATAATGAATATCATGAAAGATAATCCACGGGTAAGAAAAAAAAGACTTTATGCCACTACTACTTTAGTATTACTTTCAGAAGAAAGCTCACATCCCTCACTCCTCAAGCTTACAACATCAGCGAAGTCCACATTTTATTTTTACGTATTGACTCTTTATCCTTTTAAAAGTCTCTTTTTTTTTTACACTATCTGAGAGGCTTCAGTAATATGGAATACTTCTAACCCAACCTTCATAAAAGGATCCATCATCCCCTTTCATCGGCGGCGGGTTACCATCGGAAGGATGTTCACTAAGGAAGAAAAGTTCAGATTCTTTTACATCATACTTTTTTATACGTTGCGTGTAAAAGCTACAAGAAAACACATGGCAAATGGATTAAATGATACGAAGGAAAGAAATACTTACACAAAGATTGAATCAACGAAACTTCTCGAAATTCTAATACTAAAATAATGTGATCACAGAGAACTTGTTTTACACAAATTTCTAGTTCCTTTTGTAGTTCTTAGAGGGTCATTTATTTTTTGTATCTTTTAGTTTTCTTTCTTCTACCTCTTGTAAAGGAGGGAAACCCTCGATACATATATGGAAAAGAGAAAAGAAATGCCCATATTCATGAAAAGCATGTAATCTTCCTTGCTCTATTGGTCTACATAACTATGATCATTGAAATTTGAAGATCCTGATATTGAACTCTTTCTCCCAGTTGTATGAATATATATATATAATATTCAGCCATTGCATAGCTTCTTCGCTTTTCTTTTCCGTGCAGAAAAATCGCTTTTCGACCAAAAAGGATCGACTATAATCATCCCGGCTCGTTCGAATTGATAAAAACGGTGATCGCAGTGACTTGTGTTTTTACGCGTCCGTCGTGCCCCGAGGATTGAGTTCTTTTCCTCCTCTTTTTCATTTTCCTTTCGATTGCCGCTCCGCTGTTTTTATGGGCCGCTGTTTTGGTCTCCGCGAACTCGACGAAGCGCGAGCTGCGCGTCGGCGTGGAGGCGGGTGATCGTGTCCTCCAAGTTTGCCAGCTTTGACAGCAGCCGCGTGAGGACGATGTTTTGCGAATACGCGATGCGGATCTCCGCCGTGAGGCTTTGGGCCGGCGGGGCGTCCCCCATCAGCGCTGCGGGGTCCTCCCAGAGATATTTTTCGAGCTCCTGCTCGACCTCGCGATGGAGCCGCGGGATGGCGGCGGGGAGGGTCAGAAGAACCCCCTCGCTGAGATTGCTGTGCGCGTGATTGCAGACGCCGTCGCGGTGGAGGCGCTGGAAGAGCCGCAGCTCCGCCGGGGTCGCCTCAGGCGGAGGGGGTGTAAAACCCTCCGGCGGGGGCTTATCTTCCTCATGAAGGCCCCCATAACTGGGATTGGGAGTCAGATGGGTGGGGTTATTGGTGGTATGAGGCGTCATGGTAATGGGATGGGAATGGTTCTCCTTGTGGGCCTCCGTGGCCGAGGGCTTCAGAAACTTTTGGAGGGAGGCGGGCGGGGGTAATAACCAGCCCGATTGCGCACACAACAACAGCCGCGTGCACTGCATGGGCAGGGCGTCGAAGGCCTCCTCGAGAACTTCGCCCACCGTCGAGGAAGTACTCGACGGCCCCGCCGGCGGGGACGACGCGGTGCGGCTGATTTTGGCCAAACTCTCCTCCGCGGAATGCCAAACCATCGGGTTCACCCCAGGAAGGGGCTTGAGCAGGCCGTTGATAAGATCCACTGCGGTCTGGACGTCGTGCGTTTTGGGGGCCGCGTTGGCGGGCCGCTCGGTCGACATGATGGGCCTTCCGGTTTGGGAAAGTTGGGTTAGGAATCGCCGGAGCAACCCCAGGGGGTCGATCCCACAGGAAGGGGGGCGATCGTGGGATGAGGTGGAGTTTTCCATCGCGAATGGGACCTTTTTGTCCTCCAAAGACGTCTGCGAGGGCAGGGCGTTGGGTAAAATCGCAAACACGCGAAGTAGCCCCTGCGCGACGCGCGGGAGAAGCTCCAAATAACTCGTCCCTGCGCGGTTATACGGGACGTTAATTCGCATTTCGTGCGCGAGAACTTTCCTCACGGCGTGGCGGCGCTGCCGCTCCCCCGCGAGGTCGTACCAGGCCCCGGGCGTGGTGAGCAGCTGAAAGCCCAGCCGGGGCTGTTGGACCGCGGGCCGATTCAACCCCTTCGCGGGGCTTTTTTCCTCCACCTCGTCGTCCTCGTCCGGGGATTCCCCCGCCCGGAGCAGCGGATGCCCGGCGA